AATATATATTACATAAGGTGTTCTTTAAAGGGAAACATACATAAAACAAGGTTATGTATGGATGGGTCGATGAAAAGGCACCAGAGGCTGTCAGGAGCCTGACCCTCTGTTCCCCAGGAGCAATGCCTCAGCAGACTACCTCTCTGATTCAGCGTTGGCAGTGACGACAGAGAACCATCACGAATAATGACAATGGACTATAACTACGTATGCCTTAAAACCCCCTTGCTTATGTATGTGGATGTCACTCCTGAAGGATACAAACCACATTTTACATCCACTATGGGCAGCACAAACAAAGGGAAGATGCTCAGGACATGTGCTGAGAGATGCTTTTATTTGCCAAACCCTAGCCCACTGTAACCTCTCACAGCCTCCCTCCATTTCTCAAATGAAGGAGGAAAAACCCACCCTTTGCCCTGGACGGTATGGTTCAGTTGGTTGAGGGTTTTCCCATGCAACGAAAGGTCACTGGTTCGATTCCTGGTCAGGGCACATACCCAGGTTGTGGGTTCAATCCCGTTGGGGTGCGTATGTGAGGCAACAGACCGATGTCTGTCTCTCACACCGATGTTTCTCCTCTCTCCCCCCCTCTCCCTTCCTCTCTCTATAAAATCAGTAAAAACATATTTTTTTGAAAAAACTCACCCTTTAATACAGATCAGTAACAAAGATTCTACTTTTGCCCAAAACACCCCACCCCACACACTTTTATAAGACTGGTAAGAGGGGAATATCACCTCCACAGAATCAGGGTCTTTGTCCTGTTCTTGACAAGTGGCTACAACAGCGATTGACAATTAGTAGGAACCCAGTAAATATTTGTTGAATGAAATAAAATAATGAATTAGAAGGGAAAAAAAAAAAACCACCTTTGCAGAACCTGGGCCTCTCATTTCCCACTTGTGGAGAGTCCTCTGCAAACAAAACCAACGTCTAGAATTTCCCAACAAAGGAAGACACAACACTCTGTTCCCCTATGATTAACATAAGAATTCAAGGGATTACCTGATGCCCTTGGCCTGTTTCATGTCAAGGGAAACAGGACTCCCCACCCATTTGAGACCCTCAGCACAGTATCTGGGCTCAGAGCACTTTAGTCAGCCAGCTATTTCCTCATGGTCATGCTTGATCCTCAGGCACATCTACCCTCACAAGCAGCTCCATATGTACTCAACCCGCCCGGGGTCACCCTTCTGTCCTCAGTCTCTACACCGTCCATATCCCCTCCTAGCCAACAGACGTGTGTTTCTTCTGCCCACGGGTTTTTTGTTTTGCTTTGTTAATCCACACCCGAGGGTATTTTTTCCACTGATTTTCAGAGAGAGCGGAAGGGAAGGAGGGGGAGAGAGAGAGAAACATCGACGTGAAAGAGACACATTTGATTGGTTGCCTCCCACAGGTGTTCCTACCAGGGTGGGACTGAACCTGCAACCCAGGTATGTGCCCTTGACCACGAACCAAACGCAAGACACTTCCGTGTGCGAGCTGATGCTCTAACGGCTGAGCCATACTGGCCAGGGCTACCCATGGGTTTTTACTGTGCTATTTTTTTAAGGCAGTAGATTCACCAGGGAGACATCATATTTGACAGAATATACATCTGGAGTAATAATAACTTACATTCTTTTTCTTTGATCCAAATGCTTTACATGTACTAATACTATGGTAAGTTGTAAAAACGGCTGCAATACTTTGCGGGCAGAGCTTATTGTTTCCAGCCTCTTGAATTTGGACTGGTCTGGTGACTTACTCTACCCAATAGGGCAAGTGTGCTGCAAGCAGAGGCCTGGGAAGGGCTTGCCACTTTGTTCCTGGAATCCTGACACCATGTGAAGAAGCCATGCTAGCCTGCTGGATGAGACACACACAGTCCAGTCACCCCGATGCCTTAGCTGACAACCAGCCAACTGCTTGATGGATAAAACCATCCAAGATCAGCCAGCCTCTAGGCAAGATGCATGAGATCAGCCACACCTGAGATCAGGAAAACTGCCCAGCAAAATCATGAGCTAACTAAGTGCTTTAAACTGCTAAGTTTGGAGTGGTTTGTTTTAAGCAAAAGCTAGAACTGATTCACAACTCCACTTTACAGATGAAGAAACTGAGGCACAGAGATTAAGCAACCTGCTGAGGTCTCACAGCTATAAAGTGGTGAATTATAATTCAAACACAGGCAGTCTGGCTCCAGAGGCTAAGCTTTGCCGTCTGTCCCACGACTAAGTCATTCTACAAGTTTCAGATATTTCCCCACTCACTTCCCAGAAGGAAGTTAAGTTTAGGACATGAACTTACATGGCCCAGAAACACCAAACAGGCAACTTTCAGCACTGAATAATCCTCTGCTGCCCTTCAGGTTTGCCAAGCACTCTGCTCTCTTCTCACAATTCCAACCAGTTAAAAGTAACAAGAGTTGCCCAATGTCCATTTAAAGATGAACAAATAAACAAAATGGGGTCCATATATACAGTGTAATATTATTGAGCCTGGAAAAGAAATGAAATTCTAACATATGCTATAATATGGATAAACCTTAAAGACATGATGCTAAGTGAAATAAGCTGGTCACAAAAAGACAACTAGTACATGGCTCCACTTTTATGGGGTGCCTAGAGTAGTCAGATTCATAGAGACAGAAAGCAGAATGGTGGTTGCCCAGGGCTGAGAGAAAGGAGAAATGGGAAGTTATTATTTCATGAGTACCAAGTTTCAGTTTGGGAAAATGAAAATGTTCTGGAAACGGATGCTGGTGAGGGTTACACAACATGAATGTCCTCAGTGCTACTGAACCGTACCCTTAAAAATGGTAAATCTTACATACCACAATTTTTTTTAAATTTATTTATTGATTTGAGAGAGAGAAAGGAAGGGAGGGAGGGGGAGAGAGAAACATCAGTTTGTTGTTACACTTATTTATGCATTCATTGGTTGCTTTTCGTATATACCCTGACCAGGGATCAAACCCTCAACCTTGGTGACTCTCTAACCAACTGAGCTACCCTGCCAAGGCACCACTATTTTTTTAAAAAGAAAAACAATTACAAGGGTTGGGACTGGCAGTGACCAAATGACAGGTCCAGGGCCACTGTTAGACCAGATAGAACCCAGGATGCAACACAAGCAAGGAACACTCCACCACTCAGGTTTCCTGAGTCACACAGGCTCCACCCCCTCATGAGAATGTCCCTGCCACATGCTAAAGGCCAGATGGGCTGGTAGATAGTCAAAGCCACCTTAAAAACAAGCTCTGGCTCAAGGGAAAACCCTCAAATAAATCAAAGCCAGTTTCCTGCCCCCACCTCAGCCCTGAAAAGAAAAAGCAGACGTATTCTACCTCCTCTTGGAGGAATCTGGGCTGGGTTTTCAAAAATCACAGGCTCTAACTCACTAGCAGGAAGATGAGTTGACAGCAGGAACAAGCAAGTTAATGCAAATTTTGATGGGCAGACAGAATTTCTACAGGCCGGATGATTATAAATCTTTGTAAACTCTTCAGGGAAAACTAAGCTGTAGAAGTGCCTCCCTTTGTTAGGTCTCCTCTGTTCCCTTGATCCTCTGGATGGATAGACATGGTCATTCCAGGCATATAATAAAACCACCACTATAGTATAATCTTATTTTTTTTAAATAAGAGATATACATCAAATATTAACAGAAGGTTTGGGGACTTATCTTCTTTTTGTCTATCTTCAATATTTCCTACCACAATTTTTTTTTAAATGAAGCTAAAACCTGAGCTCACGCAGGGATTCCATGGTCAGATGCTATCTCATTTAAGTCCTAAGGACGACCTCATGAGAGAGCCAAGGCTGGTCCGTAATCATAAGTCTCAGGGATAAGAAGGCTGAGGCTCTAGGAACTCGGTGCCTCTAGATACACACTTGAAGGAGATGCTTTGAAGGCCTCTCTCAGAGACCACCCCTGCTGCCCACAGTCAGAGGGGTTTGTAAATATAGAAAGGAAGGGGGTGGAGTAAGGCCAGAGGAAGAAAACAGGAAGCCCCACTTGGCAGCTACTGGTGGTGGGCCCCACCCCTTCACCCATCCACGGAGATGAGTTGTGACATCCGGGCCCTGCCTCAGCCTTAGAGCATCCTTCTAGTTCCTCGGCTATGGCCCAACAAGGTCCCTTGAGGTTCAGGGGCAGGGATCACTCTGAGCCTTCTCCACCCTTCTTCCTGCCTCACCTGCAAAGAGGCAGGAGTTTAGGAAGAGGGTTTGTAAGCACAAAGCCGGGCAGGAGTCCCACAGCATATACTGGGCCCTGCCAGTTGACAGTGAGTCAGTCACAGGCCCCCAGGGGCTGGCTATTATGTGATTAGACCTGATGACTCAGTGGCTTGTCCACAGGACTCAGTCATTGTCAGGATCACTGTGCTCACGAACCAAGACACGGGACGAGAGGAAGGAGCAGCAGGCAGGGACCAGTAAGCGTCAGGGCTCTTCCCCTTCCCCATTCACATGCTTGGCCATGAGAGGCTGAGCGGTGACACAGGCACACACTACACCTCAGCGGTGGCCGTCCAAGGAAGACACACTCTGAAACCAGAACCAATTTCCAAGGGGCCTCAACAATCACCTGACAGCAGCTCCCCTCTGTTGCCCCTGTTCTGGTCTTGGTGCCTCAGTTGCCTATTTGGGCTCTCGGACAAAGAACCAATGTTTCAAGAGAAGTAAACGGAATATTCCCCCTGCTGCCTGACAGGCGTCATTAGGAGAGGGCAGAGAAATAAGCCTGGCGTATGGACATATCCCCTCATCCCCCTGAGCTGGCCCAGCTGCCTGGGAAGTGGAGATGGGCACCAAACCTGGTGGCAAAGCGGCACCCACTCACAGGGCCATCCAAATGCCAGCACCACCCTCTAAGCATCAAGAGCTGGAATGAAGGCAGACTGTGGGCATGGGGGGTAATAAGAGGCTCACTCCAAATGCAGCCGTTTACAAAGTCACCAGCTGGGACGGCGGGCAGAGGCCGGGGGACGGCGTGCGGGGCTCTCTTACCTGCCTCGCCACCTTCCGCGCCTCCCAGTAGGGCTTCGAGTCTTCCACGGCTTTGCCAATCTTCTTCAGCAGCTCGTCCAGTTTCACTGTTGCCTCAACCAGCACAGAGCGGAACTTCTGACGAGCGTCCTGCAGCCAGGGGATATCAAGGAGACCCGGGTCAGGCTTAAGGAGAAATGTGCAAGACTCCGCCTGACCTCACCAGAGACACCAAGGGTGGACTTCACACAACCTACCCGCACCTCAATTGATACCTTCATAAGACACTGTCTACAGCAGTACCACCCAAAAGCACTTTCTTTCTGTGCTGCTGGAAGTTTCTAGCATCAGCACTGTCCGTTATGGCAGCCACTAGCCACATGTGAATATTAAGCACTTGAAATTGGCTGGTGAGCCCCAGCCAGGTAGCTCAGTTGGTTACAGTTGTCCCAATACACCAAGGTTGTCGGTTCGATCCCCACGCAGGGCACATACAAGAATCAACCTATGAATGCATGAATAAGTGGAGCGACAAGTCAGTGTTACTCTATCTCTCTCTTTACCTCTCTCTCTAAATAATCAATCAATAAATAAATTTTAAAAGAAGGAAAAAATCTTAATATATAAAAAATTGGCTGGTGAGACTGAGGAGGAGATAAGTTTTATTTAATCTTACCTAAATATATTTAAATGTTAAAAATAAATGTGGCTAGTGACTACTATATTGGACATTGCAGGTTAGAGTAAAAAGCTCTGTCCAGATCCTCAAGGGAAGATGCCCGATTGGGCTGCCCCAGCAGCTTTAGTCCTCAATGATGGCACCATTTTCTACTCTCCTATGGAGTCTTCAACCATATGACATGGTCAACATGAAACACTGAGAGCAAATTTCCCACATGCCAGAACCTGTGCTGGGCCTTGGGCTTGGTCCCTGCCTTCAGGACACCTCCAGTCTGGTGGGTAAGTCAGGCATTTATAGCCCAGTCCAGAAGTCTGTGCCAGGATGGGAATGGTACAGGTGCCACAGAACCCAGCAGTAGGGAACCTCACGATGCCAGGTAAGACAGGGGCCAAGTGGGAGATTTATAGAAAACTCCCAGAGGGAGAATATCTGCACAGCAGCGTAAAGCATGAATGGGCACTGGGGAGAGAGGAGAGGAAATACTGAGTCCCAAGCAGGGAGCAGAGCCATCAGCCAGAGGGGAGAGGCAGAGCGTGGTGTTTTCAAGAAATGGAAGGCAACTGCAAGTCTGGAATGTGGAGAATGGCAAGAGATAAGGGCAGCCACCCATCCTGGAGACAGCCACCATCAACTTGGGCCTCGATACAAGTTCGGAAGGGAGAAACAGGCAGGTGGGCCATGCCAGGCTTTACCACACTGTGAAAGGCCAGAAACAAGACCCATGGACATCACAAGAAGGGAAAAAATATTTAAAGGAAATCTAGTCCCATGTGTAAGACATATTGGAGGGTCACGTCAGTATCACAGACCTCACATCGCCTCTCCTCCTTTGGTGTTTGCCTGATACAGCCACACCGTGTGTGTGTGTGTGTGTGTGTGTGTGTGCACGCACACCCTTTGAGAAAGGGAAAATAGATACTCAGAGAAGGAACAACACATGATCACCAGCCATGGGGCTGCCCTAAAACCAAACAGCCACGGTGCTGGTAAAACACACGAGGTTCCACTGGCTGCAAAGCGCCTGCCTCCCAAGTGACTATCTGAAAACTATTTCTAAACAGCAAATGGTAGGGGCCTCTTGGGCCAACAGGATGGCCCATGGGGTAAAGGAGGCTCCAACCACTTCTCATTTCATTCCCCTGTCATGTTGTGACAGACACTTCTTGCCAGACATGGGCCTTGGGCCCTTCCCCCAGTCCTGTGTCACCATCATGATTTTCTCTGCCTCTCTCCTACCTGGCCAGTCCCGCAGTCGCCACCACAGCTTCTGAAGGCTGGGAACAAGACTGGGCTTGTGCTCCTGATGAAGTGCTGCAGATGCACTGGGGCAGCCCAGGGACCAGCAAAGCCCCCGAGCCTCTGTTGGACTTGACGTCCAGTATGTGGGAGGTAGCAAGTTGTCTAACGCCTGGGATTTCTATCAGAGATGCATCCAATTCTGGCTAAAGCTCTTTCTGTGCAGCCCCAACTGGGTAAGTTCTTTACAGATCATTTTTATTACCTATAAAATAGTTACTTTCCATGTCATAGGGAGGGCTGTTAGAAGGAATCAAGGAAAACACAAATGTAAAACACCCAACAGTTCCTGGGCACATAGTAGGTGCCCCATTAATGTATACAACATTTTCCCTGGCATGAAAAGAACCCACGACCCTATTAAAAAACACCAAAGAAGTCTCCCTGGGGCAGGGTAGCTGGCATGAAGAAGACCTACTAACCTGTGACACTGTAAGCAGCTGCTTTGCAACTGTGCTCACGTGCTTGACTGAACCCTTGCAGCCATCACCCTGGTGGGAGTCAGCACCAGAGCTATCCATGTCCAGACCACAAGTGAGACAACTGAGGGTCCAGGTAGTCAGCGTGTGACCAGGGCAGGTCACATCATCATTCTGGGCCTCCTCTGTAAAACAAGAACTGGGCCCCAAACCAGTGGCCTATGGGCGGGCCTATGGCCTGTATGCTGTGTACCAAATGTCAGGAAAATCCTTTTTTTTTTAACTGTGGATTCTCCAATTTATTGCTTTTTAAAAGTCAGATAATCTGGCAACACTGGGCCCCCATTCCCACATGGCAACCACTGGCTAGAAGTGGAGTCTAAGATGCCAGCTTAGATAGAGACTGCCCTTTCCAGTCCCCACCCTGTGCCTGAATCACACCCGGCCTGCTTCTCTCATTTAGGTTCCCTGCCAATGCCTGGAGACTTCTGATTTGCCAAGAGCTATTCTGGTCACTAATGAATATAACCCACTAACTCTGCCTTCGTGAGACAGAGGGATGCACAGCACAGATGGACAATTTACCAAGTGGCAGACACGATTATAAATGCTCAATTCCACCAATCTGTGAGATTGCTAACAACCTTATCAGGTAGGTGCTATTGTTGTCATTCATATTTCACAAAGAGGGAAACTGAGGCCCAGAGAGAACAGGTAACTTTCCCAAAGCCACACAGCTGGGAAACGGCAGAGGCAAGATTTAAGCTCAAGCAGTAAATAAATAAGTACAATGTGGTAGTAAGTACTAAGATCTCAGTATACACTGTGCAACAGACACCCAACTGGGAAGGCCACCCAAAGAAAGTGTCATCTAAGCGAGGCCTTGAAGTGGGCATTTCACAGATAGAGAAGGAGGGGCATTAGAGACTGAGGGACTAGCACATGAGCAAAGAATGGCAGGTGGGAGGTGTGGTGGAGGCTGGGGCAAGGAAGGGCATGTGGGCCACATTAAGGCATCTGAACTTTATCCCATGTACAATGGGGAGATGAGAGTGGATTTTTCTAAGCAAGCCTCAATTCCCTTTCATGCACCCTTTCTCAGAAATGACTGAAGGTGCGTTCTTCCACAAAAAGGAAACGTAACCAGAGTCTACCAGATGGCTCCACTGTCAGCAGCACTTAGAGCTGCAGCAGTGTAAGCACCAGACACTGAGTATACAACAACTCTGCGGGAGGAAAGGGGACGGGAAAGTGGGTGTGTGGGGGGCACAGAGGGAGGAAAGGGTCTAATATCTCATTTCCCACAGTGGGATGTTGGCAGATAACCAAAACAGAAAAATCAAGGAGCAGCCACACAAAACCTACCATTTAGAGTCACAGAAGTAAATACCTAAATAATCAGCTAACGTGTGTGAAACTATCTATTAAACTGCCTCTACGGGGGGACAATATGGGGGCGTGGTAGGAAGATGGAATACTAGTGGGGTTTTATGTTTGTTTGCCTTTTTTTTTTTTTTTTTTTGGTGGCAAACCACCACAGTGGATTTTTAAGTAGAGGCGTGACCTGATCTGATCTGGGTTTTACCAAAGAGTGAACCAGGCTTCTCAGGGGATTCTGGTGGGCAGACTCGGAATACCATCAAAGGGTAGTGAACCCAAGAGACTTGATTTGAGATCAGCGTCTCCCTCTGTAAACAGGCTGTGTTGCCAGAGATGAAGATGTATGACTGGCTGACGTCCAACCACCACCAAGCTCATTCATCCAAGACGTGTTAAAAGCTAAACACAAAGTCAGCCCTCTCCCAGATGAGATAAAGCGGGCCCAGTTCTCTGACCACTCCGCAGAGGATCAGAGCTACCTGAGTAACAATTCTCCACAAATATTGGGGTTTGAGAACCCACAAACCAAAACCTTTCCTGCCTACCCAACAAAACAGCCCTGATTCTCTTGGGCCTCGCCCTGGTCCCAGGAGTAATCTGTACCCAGGCCTGGCCAATCCATCATGGACACTCCTAGCCTTGGAGAGTGTTGAGGGAGAACATCAGAACCAATGGCCCATCAGTATCAAGGAGACTTCATTCTAGTACTTTCCTAAAATGGTTAGAAAGAAAAACATTTTCCCCTGAAAAGGGAAAAGGCTAAGTGATTGGAATGAAAGCCTGTAGCAGATGGCAACCTTCTTGGCACCATGAGGGGAGAGCCTGACAGAGGAAAAGGGGAGGGAGGGAGCAGGGAAGGGAGTCCCAATGACACTTTGAGCTTCTCAACCTTATAATGCTTCACAGTCTACTCCCATACTCCACCCTCCCCAGAGCCAAGCTAGCACACACACCCCCAACTGTCACCTTTGCTTTATGTTATGGAATTGGATTTCTGTCACTTGCAATTGAATTAAGTAATTTTAAAAAAGATTGAAAAATAGACCTTAAGGTAGTCATCTGTATATAGTATTAGCCAGGGAGGGGAGGGCCAATCTATAGTCTGTACCATGGCAAAGCACTGGACTTAAATACAGTCAACTGATGGAGGGTTCTGCCCCCGACAGGACAGCCACGTTTATAAGGAGCAGAGCCAAGGGGACTTAATTCAGCCTAACTTGTATAAAACTTTTCTTTAAATCTATCTTAACACCAGTTTGCCTCCACTGAACTTGTACTTTTTGCCATATTTCCTAGTTCAAGAAAAGACTTGACCGTGGTCCTTTGTCTCCTACAATTGCAGGCAAATGTATCTCCCAAGATCAGAGTGGAGG